GCTGGGCTGCCTGGGGCTGTTTAGGCGGACGCCAGGCCCCCCGCGAGCAGGCAGACATTGCTCATTCAGGTTCCACCTGCTGGTCAGGAGTTGGCTTTGGCTCCCAGCCCTTGGAATGGACCGAAACCAAACTGACAGACACTGGCTCAGATTTTCAGGGAGCTGTCTTGCTGAGGAAATCCCAAGCCTGAGCGATAGCAGCTCAGCCCCCAGCACAAGCCCCCCAGGCCCCCAGCCTTGGGCATCAGGAACTGAGCTGCTGAAGTCCTATAGCTCCTAGAAAGGACGTCCTTCCTGGTCCCATCTCAGAGGTGGCAGCAGAAGATGGACAAGGAAGACCCTCTTTGGACCACAGTGGTGGGGGTGAACCACAAAGCAGGGAGACCACTTCTCTCCCCCTCCAGGCCCACAGAACATGGTATGTTCTGAGGGTCCCTTTCATTCCTACTTGTTTCCTGTTCCCCTTTTCAAAGCAGGAGTTTTTCATGCGGAGTGGGTAACTCAGCCTGAGGTCATTCGGCCACGAGAGGCTACATCTGACCCCAGCACAGAGAGCATCAGGTGAGCCCGGCCTCAGTTGGAACCAGACCTCAGCTGGGTGCTGGGAGTGGGGCACTCCATGCAGGTGCCACCTGAGAAGGTGAAGGGCAGAGGGGAGGAAGCATAAGGACGGGGCAGCCGGAGGGATGTCCTGCGGCACCAGCTTGCTCAGCCTGCATGTCTGTGGGGAATATGTACATTCCTGTGGCCTGGATCCTCAGCTGACCCTAAACTACTTGTTGATGTGACTGGTCTATAGCTGGGCTACTGCTCCCACAGACTGAGTCACTGGGTACAGAGCTCTGCCCGGTGCTCTGGGCAGAGACAGAGGGAGGTGGATTACGGACCTGCAGACTGCTGGGTGCAGACGTGATTCTAGTGCTCGACCTGCTGCCGGAAGAATAAAGCTGGGTATAAACCCTTTTACCCTGGGAACATTCTGTTGTCATTTCCCAGTCTCATCAATCCGTAGTGAACTTGCCCAGGGATGAAACCCTTGGGCAAGACAATGTCCCTCTTGCTACTTGCTGTGTTCTTGTTTTTTGTTCCTGTCTTCTTTTCATAGAGACTGTAGGGGGACTTCACGCAGGTGTTGGGTTCGGCCTGAAAGTGGGGCTAGTGAGTGGCAAGGAGCGGGGAGGTGGCAGACTGGCTCAGATGCAAAGGTCCTGGGCAGCAAGCCGAGGTAGGAGCTTTCTGCAGAGGGTGGTGGGGACGCCTGGGGAGTTTGGACAGGAGAATGCCCCTTAAGATGAAGTTTGTGCTGAGCAGAGGTGTGGGGTGGGCTGGGAGAGGGGGAATAGGAGCTGGGAGGGAGGCGGGGAAGCTCTGCTGAGTTCCAGGTGGCACTTGGGGACCTCCTTGCCCTGGGCATCCTTTCCCAGGGGCTCTGACTTGTCCCACCTGAGACCCCTGACTGGTACTTCCCCAGCCAGCCTGTCCCTTCTCTGCAAATGGAACCTAGATTTTGTAGTGGGCTGAGACTTACTGCTTTGTTAAATAGCGGCCCAGAGGGGAACTCCTAATTAGTCCAAGCCCAGCAGGGCAGCCCTGTCTCCCTAGTGACGCACCTTCAAAGTCAGATCCCCAGTCAGATCCTTCTGAACTGACTTAGTTCTGGTCCATAACGAAGCTGGCTGGGGGGTTGCCCTTCCCGGATAAAACAGAACCTTGGAAGAAGTCTTTTTTTTTTTTTCTCCTGTTACCCCTTTCCCTCCCTTTCTGGTTGGAACACTAGAGTGTGCCACACAGTGGGTGGAACTGTGACACCATCTTGTGACCCTGTGGTAGAGGGCCTGAGCTCGGTGATGTTTGTCATGTCTGAGACAAAGGATTTGGGGTGATGCCCCTGCAGGCGGCTTATTGGGTGTGATGGGTAATTTTATGTGTCACCTTGCTTGGCCACAGGATGCCCAGGTTACACATTATTCTGAGCGTTCTGGGAGGAGATTAGCCTTTGAATTGGCGGGCTCTGGAAAGTGGCTGGCCCTCCCCAGTGCTGGTGGCATCTTGCAATCCACCAAGGTCCGGACAAGGACGAGAGGCAGGGGAAGGAGGAGTCTGCTCTTTGTTCTGGCCTCACTGCTGGGACGGGATTTCTCATCTCATCTCGGCCCTCAGACTGGGCTTACCCACCCGTCCTCCTGGGGCTCCAGCCTGCAGGTGGTAGACTGTGAGACTTCTCAGCCTCCATAGTTGTGTGAGCTAATTCCTGATAATAAACTTCCATATGTGTGTATTTTCCCCTCTTGATTCTGTTTCGCTGGAGAACCTTGACTAGTTCTGAAGATGGTAGATGAAAAACATATTAAAATCACCTTGAAAATAATGGTAGAGTTTTATATGAGCTAAATTTAGGATGTAGGCCAGGACAATGGCTTACATCCCAAGAGCCCAAGCCAAACAAGTGTTTACACCCTTGTAGAGACAAGCAAGAGGGACGGACCTTCAGAGGGGGGCACTTCCTTTACAGAAGATGCCGTGCCAAGAAAACATGGGGGTTGGGAGGGGGGATACACATCCAGGAGGGCACCTGGTTCCGAAGGAAATTAAGGGGAACGGTAAACGTTTTCCTTAAGTTTTTAGCAAATGTGGATGCCAGTTGTTTAGCCTTTAACTTCACTAACGGTATTATAGAATTTAAGTTTTTACAGGTGGGCATTTTGAGACTTCCAGAGTTAATGAAACCTTCAATATTTAGGGCTCAGAAATCTTTCTGGTGGTCCCTAGTGTGGGGGTTCTCCTTCATTCACAGGGTGCACTAGAGAGAGGGATACAGGACTGGGTGAGCAGAGGCAGTCGTAACACCAGCGTCAGCTGATCCATCCTGCCAGCGAGCCTGGAGCTGGGACCCCGGGGGTGGCCTGGGTGGAGGACAGAGGGCCAGATCTTTGTCTCCCCACCCTGGCCAGTCACTGGATGTGGGCTGTCCTAAGGGTGAGGCTGCTCCCTCGGACTGAGGACTGACCAGCGAGCGGGTGAGCCGAGAGTCGGCAGCAGCCAATAGTCTGTGCAGCATGGTGAGTGGATACCTTGGTCCTGAAGGAGGGATGTGGGTGCACACAGGCCCCTCTGCATTGCTGCTGAGCAGCTCAAACATGCCACAGTTGCAGCTGCCTCCCTCTGGCCTTTCTGTGGATGGGGGAGGGATTTCTGTTTAAGCCACTGCTAGCCCAGTGTCCTATAACTGCCATCCCTAGATTCTATGTCTGCTGTTCTTTGGATTTCACATCCTCTCTACCATAATTCCTGGTCAAAATCCCTTTCTGGAGCTAGTCTGTATCTTGGCTTTTTCTTTTTTTAATGTTGCTCATGATACCCACCTGTGACCACTGGTTCTGTGACTCCACTCTGGCCTGTCCTACACCATCTGGCCCTGTCTCCTCAACTGGACACTAATATGACCTCTACTCTAGTGCTTGGCTGAGGCCTCCCATCTGGTATCTCAAACCCAGTGCGTCCTAAACCAATCATAAACCTAGGCTGCAAACAGGCTCACTCCTTGTTCTCATGTTTGTCAGGGCTGCGAGTAATCCTTTGCTCAGCCACTCTGGAAGCTTCGAGTCAGTCTCTGTCTGGTTCCCTTCCCTAAGAGGCAGCAGGTAGGAAAGCATATGGTAAGTTATAGGGAACAACCAAACCTGTGATGTTATAATTCCGCACACAACCGCCAATGACTGCTGTCAATTTCTCCCTAAACTCTCCTTCCATCATCTTAGTCCTCCTGTCACTTCGCTCACTGAGTTCTGTGGTAAGTCGGACTGAGCTGGGGAGAACCCCCAAAGTTCCCTGTGCAGTCCTGTAGGGGATTTTTGAGGCCTTTAGGAACCCATCTCCTGAGGAGGCCTTAGTGCGGGATATCAGGAAGAAATCCCCGGGGGCTGCCTGAGCTCCACGAGGAGAGGGTCCCAGGAGACTTTCTGAGGCTGTCAGGATTCCTTGAGGATCCACCGGGGCTTTATCAGATCTCTAGAGATTCCCTAAGGTCCTGTAAGGACAGGCTCCCAGGACAGTTCATAAGGCTATGCAGCAAAGGAGCCCTGAGGATCTACTGAGGTGGTGGTGTCAGCAGGGGATCACCAAGGATCTAATGAGATCACCCCAGAGAGGAGGTTCCCGCAGTTTCTACGGCTGCGACAAAAGTCGCAGGATCCCTGGGGAGATCCCATGGTTGTCACCCATTTATCAAATATTATTATGGTTTACTGTGTTGCTCCATGCAGAGGCGGACGACATAGGTTGCATCTGGCAGTATCTTACAAGCTATGCATGGAGACGGATACAGTAAATGCAGTCAGGTGCATGTTGCAGAGTGGGTACAGGGAGCAATGGAAAGCCCTGCGATTACAAGACAGGGTATAAAATCTGGGTCATAGGCCAGGAGTCAGTCCCTCTGCCCTGTGAAGGGGGTAGTCTTTGTCAAGGGATGTCTGGCATATGACACAGATAATGCACACAAAGCACCTAATTTGCATACAGCAGGTGCAAAATCCATGCTGCTTATTATTAGCTAAGTGAGGAGGCACTGAAAAAACTTTAGTCAGAGGATGTAATCAATTTTTATTTCAAAGTAACTGGCAGAGGCGCATCAAAGAGCTCCCCGGAGTGGTACAGCAGCTCGGTGTGGGAGGCCAGTCCCTGACCTCTCAGTCCTTGGCTGCCGCCGACAGAAATACAACGCAGACCACCTAGCAGTTCAAATTTTCTGGGAGCCACTTTAAGAAAAAAGGAATGTGTAAGTAATTTTAGCAATATATCTCACTGAACCCAATATGCCCCAGGGAGGGCCCGACTACCGCGGCCCAGGCCCGAGCGCCCGCACGCGGACCCCGCCCCGGCGCCGCCGCTCCCCGCCCCCCGCTCCAGCCCGGCGTCGCCCTGTACTGGCGTCACGCGTCCGCGCCGTGCGTCCCGCGAGCCTGGCCAGAGGCGGGACTTCCGGGCGCTCGGAGGCACAACTTCCGAAGGGAGGCGGAAGAACCTCTGGGTTCTGCGCCCCGGAGTTCTGGAACCCTGAGGGGCCGCTCGGGGTACAAGAAAGGGCCGCCGGAGCGGGCCTGCCGCGCTCGGGGTGCCAGCGCCGCGGGTCTGAGGGATGAGGAGGCGCCATGGCCAGCGACGGGGTCAGGAAGCAGTTCTGGAAGCGCAGCAACAGCAAAGTCCCGGGCAGGTGGGTGTGACGCGAGTGGCCGGGTCGGGGTCAGGGGTCAGGGGTCAGGCGGCACGTCGGCCCGCCGGGCTGCGGGGTGGGTTCGGGGTCTGGGCAGCCTGCTCGGGGCGTGGGGGGGCTCGGGGCCGCTGGGGTCGGAGCGGGGTCCGGGGTGGCAGTGGCTGCGCACGGCAGCGGGGCGTGAGCGGGGCGGGAGACGCCGCCGGCCTCCCGTGCGAAGCTCCTCGGCCCCCGGGGAGGGTGACAGGCGCCGACTCGGGTCGTGCAGCAGGGCGTTCGGTGGGACTAGGGACCTGGCCGAGGCAGGCCGGGCCTGCAGGGAGGTCGGTTTCCGCGGGGGCGTGGTGGTTTTGACCTACTTGATTGGCGTTCTTGCCTCTCGTGGGCCGCTGCCTTTGCCTTTGAAAGGGTAAGGCTCCCTGTGAATTTCCATGTTCCCACTTTCTGGCCTCAAAACCTACCCCTGTCTTGAGTCAGCAGAAGGAAGCGAATTAAAAAAAAAGAAAAAGGAAAGGAGTAAGTGCTTGCAGCGAGTGACCCGGGTGCACCCTGGAAACCGTACAGCTCCAAAGTCCTCTTCTGATTGGCGTGTCCTCTTGCCCAGCCAGGGCCCTAGGGAATGTGGAGACACCGCACTGGAAATGCCTAGGATAAAATCAGCTGGTGGCCAAAGCAGATTAGAGAAAAACAAAGTTTCTTAACACAGTTTGTTGTGTTCAGAAACTAAAGTCTGAGATAATGAAAATTAAGAATTGTGTCATTAAAATAACTAAGAAAATCATAAGCACAGCTTAGTCGTAAGTTGCATCATAAACGCTGTTTGAGTGATAGAACTGTAAACTTTGGAATTCACTGTCTATCAGAAGTGATCGATTCTCGGAGTGATTTGGGAGTCAGCTGGAGTGAGTTGCTGACTGGTCCGTGTCTGTGGGAGGGGCCACCACAGGTGCCAGAGACCCTGCTTTTCTCCACTGGATTGTGGCTTCGTTGAAAACGAGCTTTCATCAAAACTAGTGTCAGGGTTCAAGATGATGTGAAAAGTCTGGAATGGTGGAGAGTAGGTCCTAGTAGAGACAAGGACAAATGCTCTGGAACAGACACCAGGAAGAGGGGCCATTTGGCAGTAGGATTTCTGCGTGTTGCTTTTAGGTCTTGAGGTTTCCGTTCTTCAGTCTGAATAAACTCTAATTCTTAATAATTAACAGATACAATGATCGTTAAGCAGTTGTATGGAGTTACATCAGTGAATGAACCTTTGGACTTACGATTGTCACTTGGTAATTTGTCCTTGTATTGGGTTCAGTAGTGTCCCTCCAAAATTCATATCTGTCTGGAACCTGTGAATGTGACCTTAGTTAGAAATAGGGTCTTTGAAGATGTGATTAAGTTAAAATGAGGTCATATTGGGTTAGGGTGAGCCCTAGTCCAATGATTGGTGTCCTTATGAAAAGAGGGAGATTTGGACATAGAGACAGAAGATTACATGTGAAGGTGGAAGCAGAGACTGGAGCAATGCGTTTATAAGTCAAGATATGCCAAGGGTTCCTGGCAACTAGTAGAAGCTAGAAGAGACCTGGAAGGATCCTTACCCCTAGAGCCTTTAGAAGAAATGTGGCCCTGTCAACACCTTGATATTGGACCTCTGGCCTCCAGAACTGGAGAGGATACATTTCTGTTATGTTAAGCTACTGAATTTGTGGTAATTTATGACAGCCACAGGAAACCAATATAGTCCCTCACCTTTTTTTCTGTGAGATCCTGTATTTCCAAAGAAAGACCTTTTCCTTGATTTTGATACTGTGCCATGTTTTAGGCATTTCTGAGAGCAGCTGGTGTGTTCTAGTTATAGAGTTGGGAGTGCAGTCTGGGAGAACTGCCCGAGGCTGTCCCTGCAGAGGGCGGGCAAAGAGGGGAGGTTGGACTGCCCAGAAAGGCCTGCACAGCTGCTGGGTGCCTCTGGCCTCCTGTGGCCTTGCCTCGGGCAGTGCTGCGGCTCCAGAAACAGGAGTTGCAGAGGTATGCCCTTTGCTGTCAGCAGGCCGCCTGCCGTGGGGATCAGTAGCCACTACTCACCCTTTACCTCCACGAGCGCAGTGCTGTCAAATCCTAGCCAGATTCCTGCGGCTTTGCCAGCCTTTCAAGTGGTTCCTCTGATTGTTTAATTCTCTTTTTTGAGTGAGGACCTCAACCCAGGGGAACTCAAAGGAGGAAAAATAGACCCACTACAAAATAGAGAACCACTCAAAGGACTTTTTTGTATAGCACAATACTTAATAATTCCTTAGTAACAGTTCTGCGTAATGCTTCTTTATGCCAGTAAAGGCTGATGGCCATTGAGCACCTACTGTTTGCCAGCCACTGTTCTGATACTCTGCCAGTATGGTGTCTCTCGGTTTTCTTTTGAGTTTACAAAGCTCATGCTCTGTCCTTGGCTTCCAGCCCCAGGCTCTTGCCCCTGGAGGGCCGTGCTGAGGAGCAGAAGGGTCTTGCACGGCCAGAAGGCCCTTTATGACCAGACCCTTGCCCAGTTGTGTAGCCACCTCCTCTTGCCCTCCTTGCTTTGAATTTGGCCCTCAGAGGTGCTGATGAATGTGCAGGTGCCCTGGTGTTCATGCTGTATGATCCCTGTCAGTTTCATGCTCTCATAGCTGACCAGAATGTTCTTTCCCTCACTTTCCTTCTGTTTGCCTGGCCGCCTTTTTTTTTTAAATTTTCACAGCTTCCCTCCAGCAAGTCCTTGTAAAGCCCTTCGTGTTTTCATGCATTCTGGGCTAAAGTACTCTTATGCATGGCTGGTATGTGCCTCTCTTCCTTCAGTGAGCTATGCAGGTTTAGGGAGTGCCTTCTTAATCTTGTGTCGTTATTGCTGATAAACAGCTGTTAACCCAAAATATCTTCCCGATTAACCTAGAGGGGATAAGTGGTTTGGCCAAGGTCTTTGCCTGAGAGGTGGTCTTGCTAGTGGACCCTCTGTTCTCTGCACACCCTGGTACTTGGGTTGTGTCATGCCTATGATTTCTTAGAAATCTCTTCTGGATGAGGCAGGATGTGGTGTGTGGGGAAGGCCTCCGACTGGGAATTCTGTGGTCTGAGTTTTAGTCTTTCTGTTAATGTCTGTGTGACCTTCACCAGATCATACACTCCCTGGGGCTGTGGGTTTCTGTGTGTAGCCTGAGGGGGTTGCCTTCGACCTCAGGGGCTGTGACCTACAGGAGGATATTTGGTCTAGCCTGATTCTCTTTGATGTGAATGAGACACCCTCTTGGTCCAGTTTTGAGAGATTGATAATTCATTCAGCAAGTATTTATTTAACCCATACTTTATGCCAGGAACAATTCCAGGTGCTAGAGGTACATCGTAGAGCAAATTGACCAAATCTGTGCTCTCTCAGAGCTCCCGGTGGGGTGGGAGCGGCAGAGGATAAGCAGCACCACTGAGTTAAGTGGGGAGTTAACTGCTGGAAGGTGGTGAGCACTATGGGGACCTGAAGCAGGGCAGTGGGTGGATCAGTCGGGGCAGGTGCAGTGGGAAGAGCTTCATGGTGATCAGGTGCCCAGGGAACCCCTCACCGAGCAGGTGACATTTGGGCAAGATTCGTGGGACGTGAGCGAACAGGCCCCCTGGCTGGCGGGACAGTGGGCCAGGTGGAGGGTGAGCAAGCGCCGAGGCCCTCGTTCGGAATGCTGCAGGTGTGTTGGAGAAGAGTGGGGGGCTGGTGACTAGCTGGGGAGGGAGAGGGGCCGTCATGGGGTACCTGGTGTGAAAGGGGGCCGTGGTGGGCCTCATGCACACAGGACGTGGACCTTCAGTCTTGTATTCCGAGTGAAAGGGGAGGCTCTGGAGGGCTCCCGGGGAGCGGCATGGCCTCCTTTGGCTCAGCAGGTCCGTGGGGTTGCTCTGTTGGAGCTGGAGTCGGGGCAGAGAGGTGGAGCAGAAGGCAGGAAGACCAGTTAGGAGGCTTCTGTGCACATACAGGTGAGAGATGGTGGTGGCTTGATAGCCGTCAGAAAGTAGCTGTTAAGAATTGAAAGGCTGGGTCTCTGACTCTCTGGGCCTGTTTGCTCCGGCCACTGGCTTGCTGGGCCCCTGTGGGCTGTTGCCTCCCACAGCTGCCGTTGGCATTCCTGCCATGCTTAACTTTAAATGCCACGATGAATCACAGCGCCCTGGGCATGAGACCATGGCTGCCTGCCGGTGTGGACCTGCTGCTTGCCTTTACGCGCGGCTCCACCTGCAGTGGGCTCTGCCGACAGATGTGTGCAGGTTGCCGGGGCTGACATTTGTAATGTGTGGCTGACATTTGTAAGTGGATGGCAACAAGAAAGGCCCAAACTGAATATGGCAAGGCTGTGGGTGCTTGGGTGGAGCTGGAGCAGAAGATAGCTCAGTGTCGTGGCTGTGACTGCTTTCGGCTTGTGGCTGTCAGAGCCGTGAGGAGACCGCGTGGATGAGACAGACACCTCCGCAGGCCACCGTCACTCATCAGCTGAAGGGGAGGAGTGCGGGGGGATAACTCGCTCAGAAAGCATTTGGGGTGCTGGCCTGTGCCCGGTGCTGTGCAGATGCTGCCACTGGGGTGAGGGGCATCATGAGCCCACAGACACGCTGACAGCCTGTAAGAGCCCTGTAGGCTGTAATCTGGTAGAATAACAGGGCATGACGTGCATAGAAGGCCACATCCTCCTAGAGGAGGTCACACCTAAGCTGAGACCTGGAGGTGGAGGGTGCCAGCCTGCAGTGCAGAGATGGGCACTGTCAGACGACTCCTGCTGGGGGACATGCACTGCACGGAACCAGCGACCAGCGGGGAGAAGCAGGGAGGGCCGTGTTCAGAGATGCGGGTTGAGGGGAGCAGGGCCTGTAGTGTGCACGGCTTTGGAGGCCATGGAGACTATGTGGGCCTTGGCCCCGGAGCCATGAGAAAGCACTGAAGTGTGGTACGCATCCTTTTCGTCCCCCTGGGGCAGGTTGGAGAGGAGGGGACGAGCAGGGCCCCTGTC